GTAGTAGTCGAGGTAGTAGTATGTAGTAGTAGCAGTAGTAGCAGTAGTAGTAGTAGTAGTAGTAGTAGTAGTAGTAGTAGTAGTAGTAGTAGTAGTAGTAGTAGTAGTAGTAGTAGTAGTAGTAGTAGTAGTAGTAGTAGTAGTAGTCGTAGTAGTAGTAGTAGTAGTAGTAGTAGTAGGAGGAGGAGGAGGAGGAGGAGGAGGAGGAGGAGGAGGAGGCGGAGGGAGGTGGGAGGGGGCAGGTAGGGATGGGAACGAAGCTTGGACACGAGGAAGGCACATGATGAAGGGGGGGAAGAGGAGATGAGGTGGACGAGGGGGACGGCAACGAGAGGATGACGAAGGCGGGGGAGTGATAGTAGAAGGATTCGGAGAGCGACGACGATAGGACGAGAAGGGTGGCGGTATAGTGAGAGCATGATGGGCCGGATGCAGGAGCATGTGACCGAAGAGGCACGCGGAGGTGTGCGGAGGCGGGGGTCGGATCAAGGAATGAACACGACACGCACGCTTTGTCGACGATACAGTCCTGTTCGGCCCAGACTCTTGCTACCTTGGCTGTATCTTTGCTTGCTCAGCGAGTTCGAGCAAACAACCACTATGTACAGACGCTTCGCCTCCCACCGATGCTGTGGCACTGATGCCGAGAAGGCAAGGCCACGTGTCCACCAACCGGCCCCAACCGACCAGCCACTGCCGAGTCGCAGTTTGTACAATGCGAAAGCCGCAGCCCCCCGTCGGACGGGGCTTGGACGAGGACAAGTCCGTGCCGGGTCGCTCCGAGGAGGCCGCGGCTCCGGAGACTTCCTCCAGAGCCGCCGAATCTCAGAGGTTCTTCATCTATCCTCACCCGAAATTATCCGGTTCGTGCCTCACCCCTTCCCCTCTCCTTCCTCTTCCTCGCGCCCTGGCTGCCACCCCTCATCCTCTCCTCTCCCTCGTCCTGCTCCTGGGATGCTCTCCCGGCAGGGCTCGCCCCTCCCCTGCTCCCTCCCCTCTCCCCTCCCGCGCCTCCTCCTTGTCGCGGTTACTCCAGATTTCGTGATAAAGGGAGGGGGGTCTCATTTCGGGGGGGGTCTCTTCCAGGCTATCTTGGAGGGCCTGGGGAGGTCTGGGGACGATGTTTTGGAGGGTTCTCCCACGGGGGAGGTCCAGCCCCCCTCCCTTCTATTACGCAATCTGGAGTATCCTCACCAGGAGATCCTCGTCCTGGTTTCGTCTTACCCCCGCGCAGCCCCTCGCCGGCAGGCGACGACGACGACGACGACGACGACGACGACGACGACGACGACGACGACGACGACGATGACGGCAGTGACAGCGGCACGGGGCGGGCGACGCGCTCCGCCCCGCGCCGAGCGCCCGCGCGCGGCACGCGCACGGCCGCTCACGCGGCGAGGCCCTCGCGGACCAGCGCTCCGCCAACAGGCGGCTCAGCAGCAAGAGCGAGGCCCGCCGGCCGGACGCCCCTCTCGATCTTGCGGGAGGGGGGGCGCCCGGCCAGGGGGCCCCGGGAGCCTCGGGGTCGGGGGAGGCGTCCTCCTCCGCCTCTTGCTCTTACGCCTCCTCCCGGTCTTTCTCCTCCTCCTCCTCCTCCTCCTCCTCCTCTTTCCTCTTACTTCTCCTTCTCCTGCTCCTCCTTCTCCTCCTTCCTCCTCCTCTCCCTCCTCCTCCGCCGCCTCTTCCTCCCCCTTCTCTTCCTCCTCCTCTGCCTCTGCGTCCTCATCCTCCTCCTCTTCCTCCTCCTCGTCCTCCCTGTCTTCCTCCTCCTCCTCCTCCTCCTCTTCCTCCTCTTCCTTCTTCCAGTGGCTCTCTCTTGACCCCCACCAATCCATGATCGAAGGGGCTGCTCGATGGGGCCCCCAAGCGCCACCGACCACCTCCTCCCCGCACCAGCAGGACGGAGCCCGAAGACCAGGACCGCCAGACTGGTGCAGGGAGGAGGCCCAAGCGCGCGCCTGGCTGCTCCTGGGGTCCACGCCCAGGGGGCGGCAGGACCGAAGCGACAATCACAGCAGTCCGGACCACCACTCGCTCGCCCGCGGCGGTGGCTGTGTCTGCTCCTCCTCCTCTGCTCCTCCTCCTCCTCCACCTCCTCCTCCCTCTCCTCCTCCTCCTCCTCCTCCCCCTACTCCTCCTCCTCCTGCTCCTCCTCCTCCTCCGCCTCCTCTTGAGGCGCAAGGCGTAGATGCCACGGACGTGTGATCTGTGATCGTGTGCCCTCGCGGCCAGGGGAGGTCGCCTCTCAGAAGCTGACTGACGCCTTTTGCCAAAGACTCTGGCACGAGGCTTCAGCAGCTGACCAGGAGCCCCAGACAAATACGCTCCACACCTCAAGCACAAGACAAGTGGCAACAAGACTGGATGATCTTGGCTACATGCAAGGTGTGGGGCCTGGGGGGTTACGTCCCGACTCGTGAAATCACGCACAGTGGGGGTCTAAGCCGCGCGCGACCCCCTCGGTTTCGGAGGTCCAAAAGCACGGGCACACTCCAGACACCGCCAGCGCCGACCCTTCCAACGCACATACTGAGGCCTTCGAAGGCCGGGGAGGGCCCAAGGCCTGGGTCCCCGCGGGGCGCGCTCCCTCTTCCCGACCATCTCCTCGGCCTTGGGGCAACTGCCTCGTATCTGTCCCATACCAACAGCTGAGCTAAACCAAATCTCAGATCCAACTCGCACTTGATTACGTTCTAGGCCATACTCGGGTGCATTGCCGCTTCGTCTGTTGCATATTCATCCGCTAGTCCTACGCAACCTATGGCATCGGGCCGCTTCCACTCGACCATCTCCAACGTGAGCCTTGACCTCACTTCTGGACCAGGATGGATGCTCTCCAGAGTGCAGTACTTTCCAGACTTCACTTGGCGGGCTTCTGCCACTGGTCGAAGCCCTCGGATCTCGAGGGCCAGCATAGTGTCTGGCAGTCGATGAGGAGGAGGGGGAGGAGCATGAGGAGGAAGAGGATCTCGCGAATAACGAAACAGCCAAGATGCTTAGTGCCAACTTGTGATGAACAAATGAGGCCCTCCCTTCCCTGGGCTGATGAATAGACCCCGCGGGGCGCGAAACCGTTTTTTCAGTCGCGCGCGCCAGGGGGTCGTTGCGGGCACCGTCCGGGGTGTGTGCACTCCCCTGCACGGCAGCCTCAAAACGATCGCCCTTTGTAGAAGTTACCATAGGGATCGTAGACATCCGAGGCGAAGCTTTCCCCCTCCCGCTCTGATTTCTGACGTGCCACCGACGTCGTCGCCGTCGTCGTCACCGTCGCCATCGTCGTCGTCGTCGTCGTCATCATCGTCGTCGACTACAGCGGGCTGGGCCTACGCAGCACCTCCCCCCATGGGGCATCCGCAGTGCGTCGTCGTCGTCGCCGTCGCCGTCGTCGTGGCCTTGTTGTCGTCTGCGCCGTCGTCGTTGTTGTCGTCGTCGTCGTCGTCGTCGTCGTCGTCGTCGTCTCTCGTCGTCGTCGTCGTCGTCGTCGTCGTGGTCGTGGTCGTCGTCGTCGACTGCAGCTTGCACATCCGCAGTGCGTCGTCGTCCGTCGTCGTCTTCGTCGTCGTTGCCGCCGTCGTCGTCGTCGTCGTCGGCGGCGGCAGCGGCGGCGACGACTGCAGCGGGCATGCGCAGCACCCCCTCCCCCCCGCCCATGGAGCATCCGCAGTGCGTCGCCGTCGCCGTCGCCGTCGCCGTCGCCGTTGCCGCCGCCGCCGCCGTCGTCGCCGTCGTCGTCGTCGTCGTCGTCGTCGTCGTCGTCGTCGGGGTCTTCGCCATGGTGGTGGCGATCGTCGTCGTCTTCCTCGTCGTCGTCGTAGGAGTTGTAGTGGAAAAGGGGGGGGGGAGGGAGGGAAAAGGAGAAGCAGGAACCCTTTCCGCCTGCCTCTTTCGCTCCTCCCTCTTCTTCCGTTTCCTGTTTGAAGCCATGTCGGCACCGCCCGCCAGCCGAGGCGCCTCTTTCCCCCGCCTCCTGTTTCTATATCGGCCCAACCGCCCCGCAATATCGGAGGCGCTGTTTTCCCGATCTGCTGAAGCGACGCCGCTTGTGTCGCGCCTGTCGCCTTTTTTGTTTGTTTGTTTGTTTGTTTGTTTGTTTGATTGTTTGATTGTTTTTGGTTAAAGACGAAAGCGACACATTGATATCAGTTTTAATATGATAGATAGAATGCACTTGTCGATTGTTTCATTTTAGGCTCTCGAGATATAAAAAACGAAGGTGAACAACGCGACGGTGTTTTGGCGTGCTTAGCTCGATGTTTTACCGTCATGAGGATTGTCGCTGTGGATCATCATTTTTTGTGTTCTGCTCGAAGGCTGTTCCTTGTTTTCCCTGGTGTAATCGTTCCCGCTCGTTTCTGCCGCCGCTCTCCCCCCAGAGCAAAAAAAACATATATCAAACGCTATAATGCCGGTTGGGGACCGGCCCGAAACAGGCCCGGAGGCTTGATGGCCCCATGACGGGCAATCGGCCATCGGGCCCGCCGGATTGCATGCCAGGAGAAGGACTGCGCGCCAGGAAAAGGAACTGAGGACGTCGTATACGGCAACGTTAACAGTGCAACCATCTGATCTGACAAGGCTAAAAAACGTAGTTGGAAAAAGGGAAAGCACGATTCGTTGTTTAGCGTTTTAAATTGTCTTCTTGGGGCTTGAGAGTGCTTTAACATAATTTCCAGCGCGCCGAGCTAAAAACGGTCAACCACACGCGCCCGGAGCGCATTCAAGAAAAACCAAGCTGTCGCCTTCCTGCCGTCGGCCGTTCGTCGGCGCTAATCACCGGCGCCGCCGCAGCGTGTTTCAATTTGGCGGGCCCCCTCTCCCCGCGATTCGCCCGAGCAGAAGGAACATTCTTTAATCGCCCGGCCCGGGGGGGGGGTGAAGTCAGGCTTGCGTGCGCGGAGCGCCGAGCTCCGACGACCCCCTCCCGCAAGTGAGCAGGACAGCGGCGAAGGGTGCACGCCCGTCAGCACCCAGGAGGTCAGCGCAAAACTACATAGCTTGGACGTAGATGTGTGTATATATACAAAGAAAAGAGAGAGAGAGAGAGAGAGAGAGAGGGAGAGAGACAGACGAAGAGAGAAATATAGAAACAGAGAGAGGGAGAGAGAGAGAGAGAGAGAAAGAGAGAGAGAGAGAGAGAGTGAGAGAAATACATATAGAGAGAGAGAGAGAGAGAGAGAGAGAGAGAGAAAAAGAGAGAGAGAGAGGGAGAAAAAGAGCGACAGAGAGAGACAGAGGAACCGAGAGGGACAGAGAGATACCAAGAAAGAGAGGGGCGAGAGAGAGAGAGAGAGAAAAAACAAAAAGGAGACAGAGAGAGGGACAGAGAGACAGAAACACAGATAAATAACTTGAGAGAGATTGAGAGAGAGAGAGAGAGAGAAAGAGAGAGAGAGAGTGGACACTAATGATAAAGGAGGAGAGAGAGAGAGAGAAACAAACAAAGAGAGAGAGAGAAAGAATTAATATATATATATATAGCCCTCTGCACCCACCAAGAACCCCCCTTTCTCATGATTATATATGAATTTATATATGATTCTCACGATTTTCGGACTCACTTGTGAGGCTCTTTTTTGGAAGACTTTTTGGGCTCCCTTCTACTCAATACCCTCCGTCTCCAACACAAAACCCATCACTCAACAGCCCGTCTTTCCCACACAACACCCGATACTCAACAGGCTCTTTCCCCAAGCTGAACTTGAAAAAAACCTTCTACTCAACTCCCTCCGTCTCCAACACAACACCCAGTACTCAACAGCCTCCTTCTCCAACACAACGCCCGATACTCAACAGGCTCCCTCCCCGAGCTGAACTTGAAAAGAACCTTCTACTCAACTCCCTCTGTCTCCAACACAACACCCAGTACTCAACAGCCTCCTTCTCCAACACCACAGCCGATACTCAACAGGCTCCCTCCCCAAGCTGAACTTGAAAAGAACCTTCTACTCAACTCCCTCCGTCTCCAACACAACACCCAGTACTCAACAGCCTCCTTCTCCAACACAACACCCGATACTCAACAGGCTCCCTCCCCAAGCTGCACCAAGAACCCCCCTTTCTCATGATATATATGAATTTATATATGATTCTTACGATTTTCGGACTCACTTTTGAGGCTCTTTTTTGGAAGACTTGTTGAGCTCCCTTCTACTCAACTCCCTCCGTCTCCAACACAACACCCAGTACTCAACAGCCTCCTTCTCCAACACAACACCCGATACTCAACAGGCTCCCTCCCCAAGCTGAACTTGAAAAGAACCTTCTACTCAACTCCCTCCGTCTCCAACACAACACCCAGTACTCAACAGCCTCCTTCTCCAACACAACACCCGATACTCAACAGGCTCCCTCCGTCTCCAGCACACACATGTACTCCAGATCCTACCACCACAAGACGACGCGACACCCGAAACCCCAACCGCACCCGCCCCCTTTTTTCTTGGCATCTTCCAAGAGAAAAGGGGGGTTCATGGTGGGTGCACCGGCCTATATATAGATAGAGGGAGAGAGTGAGAGAGAAAGAGAGAGAGACGGAGAGAGGGAGAGAGGGAGAGCGAGAGGGAGGCAGAAAGTGTGTGTGAGAGAAAGAGAGAGAGAAAGACAAAAAGTGATAAGGACCCAGAGAAAAACGGAGGCGACGGGAAAGCCTGGTCACGCGGAGAGGGCTCCTGGACGGCGGCGGCAGACGGGGAAGGAGCGGGCGGGCACGGAGGCGGCGGGCCCGTGGAGGAGGACGGACGGCAGGCGCGAGGCGTGGCAGGCGCCCGGCGCAGAGCACGGGCCCCGCACAGGTGGGCCGGGCACGGCAGGGACGGTCGGAGTGCGGCGGGGCGTCTCCACGAGGAGGAGGAGGAGGAGGAGGAGGAGGAGGAGGCGGGGGAGGAGGAGGAGGGGGAGGGGGAGGAGGAGGAGGAGGAGGAGGAGGAGGAGGAGGAGGAGGAGGAGGAGGAGGAGGAGGAGGAGGGGCTTCAGGGGGGGAGAGGCGCTGGCCCGCCTCGGTTCGCAGATGTGAGAGTTGCAGCAGTCAGTTGTCCACGAACGAACAACACACACCCGTACCCATAGGGGGGTCGTTGGGAGGAGGACTGGCTATGGGTATGGGTGCGGGTTGTCGGACCCTGGGGAACGCTCCCGTTCGAGCGGGGACCCATTCGACAACACGCACCCATAGCCCTCTCCGACCCCCCTATGTGTATGGGTGTGTGTTGTTGGTTCGTCAGTTGTGCGAGGGACGCTCCGTGCTAGGCACAACGTTGCCGAGTTGCGGCAGTCAGTGGTGCGAGGGATGCACTCTGCAAAAAGCGTACCGTTGCCGAGGCCGTCCGATCGGGGGCCAAGGGCAGGAAGCGCATGCACTGTCTACTCCCTGCGCAGGCGTGCTCGCACGGTGGCCCCGCTGGCCTGGAGTCTAACAGTGCAACCCACGCCACTCTTGTGCAAATGCTTTGAACAACGTGCTAGTCAAGTGCTACCCTGTTCAGGCCATAACTGGGGTGTGTGAGGAGGCCGTGCCAGGAAAGGAACATGTTGGATCGGCTAGGCTTGATGACGCGCGAGGGAGGTTCTTGTACTTTTCCTCATCCTCTTCCCCCCTTCGCCTCACCGCTCCCGCAAGCCACTCGAAATCAGGAGAAACAAACACGGGCCATCGCACAGTAGGGCCCACAGCGCCCCCACTACCATTACCCACCAAACCGTCCCCACCCAAAACGAAGGCCCTACTTCGCCGCCCAGTCCCAGTGGGGGACACCCTGGCACACTGGAGAAAAAAGGAGACCCCTGCACCCCCCAACTCGAAATGCGGGACTTCGGGTTGGGTGGGGGTGGTCTTGTGATTGGGTAGAAATTCTCGCGGATCAGCGGGGTGAAGGGGCGTGTGCTTGGTGATTCATTTTCCCGAGGCAACTCGGAGTGGCCTCCCCCCTCCATGCCGAACCTGCCCGTCGGCCCGAAACACGCACCGACCACCCCCCCCCCCCGACGGGATTCCAGCCCCCGGCTCCTCCGCGGAGGACGGCCTCCCGCACGCGATCCCTGCCCCCATTCCCCGAGCAGCTCGGAGTGGATGGCGCGCCTCGGTGCGGCGGGCGAACACCGATCCTGTGGCCCGTGGCCGTGGCGTCGTTCGGACGTGTGCATTTTTTCCTTCGGCGAGGACCATCGAGGAGCATCCTTGACCATTTGGCGGAAAAACCACGCACGAAGCCGAACAAAAACACAGGGAATGGACGCCCGAGCGATGGCCCGCGGCTCCTTGCGCCGACCCGTGCCAGTTCATGATGGACAGGCTCGCCGACTTCGAGCAGCAGTTTACCGAGATCGAGGCCGAGGTCTGCCCTGCCCGGCCTCGCCTGCGGGGAGCGGGCGCGGGGGTAGGCAGGAGCAGGGGCAGCAGGAGCGGCCCGCGGGGCACGACGAGGATGGCGACGATGACGGTGATGACGGTGGTGATGGTGATGATTGGTGGAAGGATGATGGTGCCGATGTCGATGCATGTCTGCCGCTGCTGACGACGGCGACGACGATGATGATGAGTATGATGATGGCGGCGGCGATGATGAGGAGTCTGATGAGTCTGACGGTTCTGCTGATGATGCTGGGAGTGTTGCTGATGGTGGTGTTGTTGCTGATAACGATGCCGATGCTGATGATGATGATGACGATGATGATGCCGATGATGATGATGATGTTGCTGCTACTGACGGCGGCGACGCCGATGATGATGCTGCTGCTGATGATGATCATGATGGCGACCATGATGATGATGTTGCTGCTGACGATGATGCTGACAGGGATAATGACGATGGTGGTGATGATGATGGTTAGGATGCTGATCACGATGCTTAATATGATGAGGATGCTGCTCATGCTGCTGATGATGATGGTGGCGACCACAATTTTGATGATGCTGACGATGCTGATAATGCTTATGGTGATTGCGATGATTCTGATGATGATGACGATGATTATGATGATGCTGATGATGCTGATGATGATGATGATGATGGTAGTGATGATGTTGCTGCTGCTGCTGATGATGATGATGATGATGTTTGTTTTGCTGCTGACGATGGTGATGTTTTCGACGGGCAGGCAAATCATGGTAATGCGGAGGAGGATGACGAGAAGGAGGAACGACGGAGCAGGAGGAGAAGAGGGCGGATGACGAAGAGTAAGAGCACGCTTGCGAGGTGGGGACAATCGTGGGTGAGGATGATGACGAAGACAATGCTGATATTGCTGATGATGAGGACGATGATGATGCTGATGCTGATGCTGATGCTGATGCTGATGCTGATGATGATGATGATGATGATGATGATGATGATGATGATGATGATGGTGATGGTGATGAAAATGGTGATGATGCTGATGATGATGAGGTCGCCGATGGTGATGCTGATCATAATGACGCGGCTTCTGCTGGTGTTGCTGATCATGATGGTGGAGGCGATGGTGACGATGATGGGGGAGGATATCAATGATGGTGATGGGAGGAGGATGAGGAGGATGCTGATGACGAGGATGGCACTAACGAGGACGATGATTAAGCCGATTCTGCTGATGCTGATGATGAAGCGTTTTATGTTTGTGATGGCGGGACTGATGGTGACTGGGATGTTGATTGTGACGGGGGTGATGGCAGGGATGGTGCTGATGATAACGATGCTGCTGATGATGCTGATGATGCTGATCATGATGCTGATGCTGATGCTGATAATGAGAATGATGCTGCTGCTAATGATAATGATGCTGATGATGCTGATGATGCTGATGATGATGCTACTGATGATGAGGAGGAGGAGGAGGATCTTGATGGTCAGGATTATTATGATGGCTGATGCTGATTATGGTGATGGTGGTGGTGGCGTTGACGGTGATGATGGCGAGGATGTTGAACTCTCACTTCTGAAGAATCATTACTGTTGATCCCCCCCCCTCTCTGGCGCACATTGATTGTATTTTCCGATTGAAGTGCCTCTCCCGGGGCTCTCATGTGTTTTTTTTTACATGGGGAACCTTAAGGGTCAAACTGGCCCCTTGGCCCCTGAGTTACAGCAACAACGATTCCCGCCTGAGATTGGCCATTCACTCATTTCAAAATCGCGCTCTCGCGCGGGAGGTCCTTACAATGTACGCAGGGATCGCGCTCTCGCGTGGGACGTGCTCGACATGTATTCACACGCCGCGCCCTCGACGCTCAGGAAGCACTCTCTCACTCTTGTTTTTCTCGCGGTTCACTTGGGAGTCACGTTATCGCTCGAGAACACCTTGCGGTTCATGCTGTACTCACGCTTCAGCAACCCGCCTGCTCGACCTGGCCGCTTGGGCCCGTTTTCCCGAACCGCCCGTCATGGTCTACTCGCCCGATCAGCCCGTCTGGTTCTGTCACGTGTTTTTTGCTCCGAGCCCCCCTCCTGGTAGTCCCGTGCTCCCTCCTCTTTCCACCCGTTCTCTCTTCCCCTGCCTTACGGGCTGCACTAATTACACACGGCAGGTAAAGGAAGATATATCTCCGGGGGGTGCGATGGAGACGACGAGGGCGGATATCTATGGTTTGAGATATACGTTTTGGATAGCACACGTGCAGGTAAGGGCGAAAAGTTTTACCATGATTGTTTTTGCTGGTGTCCGTGTTGTCGTCGTCGTTGGTGTCGTTGGTGTTGTTGTTGCTGTTGTTGTGGTGCTGGTGGTGGTGGTTGTTGTTGTGGTTGTTTGTGTTGGTGTTGGTGTTGGTGTTGAGCGCTCATTATTGAAGAATTTGTATTGTTGATTCCCTCCCTCCGGTAACATATGTGTTTTTTCGGTGGAAGTGCCCCTCCCAGGGCTCGCACCCTGTTTTCTATCAGGGAAAGGCGTCCTCCTCAAACTGCGTTCTTGGTTCCCGAGCTAGAAGAACAACGGCACCCGCCTGATACTTCCTCACAATGTATTCCCACATCGCGCTCTCGCGCAAGACTTCCTGACAGTGTATTCAGGAATCGCGCTCTCGCGTGGGACTTCTTCGCAATTTGTTCAGACGCCGCGCCCTCGACTCACGCTCTCGTTGTGGATTTCCTCACGATTGATTTGGGAATCGCGCTGTCGCTTGAGACTTCAACGCGATTCATGCAGGACGCACGCTTCAGCAACCCGCCTGCTCGACCTGGCCGCCTGGGCCCTCCTTCCCGACCCGCCTGGTAGGGTCTACCCGCCCGATCTGCCCGTCTGGTTCTGCCACGTGTTTTCTGCTCCTAGCCCCCCTCCTAGTCTCTCTCGCGCTCCATCCTCCTCCCTCCCCCTTGTCCCTTCCTTCCAACCGTCCTCTGCATCTTGGGCTGCACGAAATACACGTTGCAGGTAAGACAGATTACCCCCAAGGGGATACGGTCGAAGACGAGGGGTGCGGGTATCGAGGGTTAGGGATATACGTGCTGAATCGCACGCGAGCAGATAAGAGCGAACAGTCTTAAGTTGATTGTTGTTGTTGGTGGTGATGATCTGGTTGTTGTTTGTGTTGTCGTCGTCTTCGTAGTCGTTGTCACAGGTTCTGATCGTGTTGAAGTTGTGGTTGCTGCTGTTGTTGTTCTTGTGGTTGTTGTTGGCTGGTTGTTGTTGGCGTTGTGGTTGTCGTTGTCGTTGCGGCTGCTGTTTTTGTGATTGTGAATGCTGAGGTTGTTGTTGTTGTTGTTGTTGTTGTTATTGTTGTTGTGGCTGTGCTTGCTGCTGTTGTTGCTGTTGCTGTTGCTGTTGCTGTTGCTGTTGCTGTTGTTGTTGTTGTTGTTGTTGTTGTTGTTGTTGTTGTTGTTGTTGTTGTTGTTATTGTGGTTGTTGTTGTTGTTGTTGTTGGTGTTGTTGGTGTGGTTGTTGTTGTCGACTGTTATTGTATTGCTGCCGATGGAGACGCTGATGCTGATGCTGATGCGGATTCTGGTGGTGATGCGGCTGATAAGGAGGAGGAGAAGGATGTTTGTCCTTGTTCCCTTCCCTCTCCTTCGTCTCTGCCCCAGCGAAAGGTCGGGCGCATCGAGGGGGACCTCGAGGATAACTCGGCGCCCCCCCCCCGGCGCTCGGGACCGCACGCGCAGGAGGAGGACCTCGAGGAGAAGGAGGAGGACGAGAAGGAGGAGGAGGAGGAGAAGGAGGAGGAGGAGGAGGAGAAAAAGGAGGAGAAGGAGGAAAAGGAGGAGGACCTCGAGGAGAAGGAGGAGGAGGACGAGAAGGACGAGGAGAAGACTCCAGGGACTCTCTCTGGTCCTGTCGCAACCCCCGAGCTTCTCCGAACACGAGGGGAAGGGGAAGCCGAACAGCGCTTATGCTTCAGCCAGTTGTGCCCCAGCCCCTAGACCGTGTTGCCGCCGTCTTTCGCTCGGCCGATTTTTGGGGGTGGTGGTGAGCGACTTCGGGTTGCGCGCGTATTTGAGAGAGAGAGAGAGAGAGCAAGGTTCGGCGACTACAATCGGTGCGGTTACGCCAGGGTGCGGTTTGCGAGTTTCTTTGTGGCGGCCTTTCCGGGGCCTCTGTGAGAGAAAATGCCATAAACGTCGCCGTTTCGAGCGACGCTGTCATCCTCGATGTGTGCTCCACTGTACTAGAAGGAGCGATCGTGTCATGTGATTCGGCCGCATTGAGTGACAGTGTCATCCGTTTCCCGGGGGCGGGAGGGGCAGATAAGACTGGAGGCAAACCGCACCCTTCGCAATCCGCACCCTGTCTAGTCGCCGAAAGGTTTTCGACGATCTCACGGGCGCCACGAAGCTCATTCATGAAAGTCGCGTCCGAGTCGGTCCCAGGGTCAAGCAATCTGAGAGCCATGTCGTTGCCTCTTCGGCCGCCCTGCGAGCGCGCCTCCAGGCGAAGCTCCGCGGATGGTCTCGGTCGAAGGAGCTCCTCACGAGAGGAACTTCGGAATCGATTTTCCAGGAGGCACGACGGCCTTGCGACGCGTTCGGCACGAGCGAATCGCACCAGCAAGGCAGCGTCATAAGAAAATGGTGCCCCTCGGCAGAGGGGGACCATGTTCTTATGACGCAGAGGAGTGGGGGAGAGGGTTCGAGGAGGAGGAGGACCAGTGTAAACCAACGAGTCATCAACAATGATAGAATTAACCCTCCCTTCAAGCTCCCTCTTCATAAGCCCCTGCAACAGTTCAATTCCATTGACAACCTCGTTTGAAGACGCCATTCTTGGGACTTCAACGCCGCGAATCCACATACCGGTTGCACCCGCATAATCCTGAATCCTTCCAACATGCAATTTCTGGTACGTTGGTCATGGGAATCCGTGAAACTCTTTCACACTTCATGAACGAATGTGCGCGGCGCTAAGGCGAAAGCCACGTTTTGGAAAGAAGCCGCCTTCAATCCGTGAAGCTCTGGCAATTTTGTTAAGCGAATGTGCCCGGCGCTAAGGCGAGAGCCACATGCTGAAAATGAACCGCCCTCAATCCGTGAAACCCTTGCATTTTTTTGGAAAACGAATGTGCGCGACGCAAACGCGAGAGCACATCTTGAAAACCACCCGCCTTCAACCTTAGAGAAACTCTTGCAACAGTTTAAAGCGAATGTGCGCGCCGCTGAGGAGAGCCTCCCGCCTTCAACCTTTGAAACTCTTGCAATTTGTTCAAACGAATGCGCGCGGCGCTCAGGCGAGAGCCACATTTTGAAAACCACTCGCCCTCCATCTGTGAATCGGTTCCATGTTTTAAGCTTCGGAGTCATACATGGTCAGGAAGTCTTGGGCGAAACGCCCGGCCCGCCCTAAAAATTGGTCTGGGTGTGCGACAGGGAGAAGTCATTTTTAGGAAAAGGAATGTAGGAGGAGGAGCAGGAGGAGGAGGAGGAGGACGAGGACTAGGAGGAGTAGGAGTAGTGGGAGGAGTATGAGGAGTAGCAGGAGGAAGAGGAGGAGGAGGAGGAGGAAAAGGAGGAGGGGGAGACGGAGTGGGAGGAGGAGGCGGTGGAGGAGCAGGAGGAGGAGGAGGAGCAGGAGCAGGAGCAGGTGGAGGAGGCGGACGAGGAGGAGGAGGAGGAGAAACTTGATCATGATGATGCTGATGATGTTGTTGATGATAATGATGCTGATGATGCTACTGATGATGATGATTATGATGCTGATGGTGTTGCTGATGCTGCTGATGATGTGATGAGGATGCTGCTGCTAATGATGATGTTGCAATGAGATGATGATGCTGATGATGCTGATGATGCTGATGAGGATGATTCTGAGGTTGATGATGATGCTGATGCTTATGCTCATGATGAGGACCATGATGATTATGATGCTAATGATGATGACGGTGATGATAATGCTGATGATGATGGCGATGATGATGATGATGATGATGATGATGATGATGATGATGATGATGATGATGATGATGAAGGTGTCGATGCTGCTGATGCTGATGTTGCTGAGGATGATGCTGATGCTGATGCTGATGATGCTGCTGCTGATGATGCTGATGATGATGCTGATACTGATGCTGATGATGATGACGATGACGATGCTGCTGATGATGCTGATGATAATGACGATGATGATGATGACGATGATGATGATGGTAATGCTGATGATGATGCGGTTGATGATGATGCAGATGATGATGCTGAGGATGACGATGATGGGGATGCTGATGATGGTTACGATGATATGGATGATCATGATGATGCTGATGCTGATGCTGATGCAGATGATGATGAGACTGATGATGCTGATGATGATGCTGCTGATGATGATGCTGATGCTGATGACGATGATGATGATGATGATGATGATGATGATGATGAGGGTGAGGGTGAGGATGAGGATGAGGATGATGCTGATGCTCATGATGCTGCTGCTGCTGATGGTGATACTGATGATGATGATGCTGATGATGATGATGCTGATGATCATGATGATGAGGCTGAGGCTGATGATGCTGATGATGATGATGCTGCTGATGATGATGATGCTGATGATGATGCTGATGATGATGATGATGATGATGATGCGGATTAACATGATGATTCCGATGATGATGATCACGATGCTGATGCTGATGATGATGACGACGACGATGATGATGATGATGATGATGCTGATGACGCTGATGCTGATGATGATGATGCTGATCATGATGATGATCATGATGATGATGATGATGATGATGATGATGATGATGATGATGATGATGATGATGATGCTGATGATGATGCTGATGATGCTGATGATGATGATTATGGTGATGGTGATAGTGATGGTGATGGTGATGGTGATGGTGATGGTGATGATGATGGTGATGGGGATGATGCTGATGATGCTGATGCTGATGATGATGATGGTGATGATGACGATGATGATGATGATGATGATGATGATGGTGATGATGTGATGGTGATGGTGATGATGATGATGATGGATGATGATGATGATGATGATTGATGATGATGACGATGATGATGTGATGATGATGCTGATGCTAATGCTGATGCTGATGCTGATGCTGCTGCTGAGGAGGAGGAGGAGGAGGAGGAGGAGAAGAAGGAGGGGAGGAGGAGGAGGAGGAGGAGGAGGAGGAGGAGGAGGAGGAGGAGGAGGAGGAGGAGGAGGAGGCGGATGATGATGATGAGGAGGAGGAGGAGGAGGAGGCGGAGGAGGAGGAGGAGGAGGAGGAGGAGGAGGAGGAGGAGGAGCAGAAGGAGGAGGAGGAGGACGAGGAGGAGGAGGAGGAACAGGAAGAGGGGGAAGGGCAGGAGGGGGAGGAGTATGAGGGAGGAGAAGGCGGCAGTGGGAGGCGGAGGCCCTTCCCAGGTGCTTCCCGGGAGAGCTCGCGACCACCTGGCCCAGCTGGAGGCGGCGCTGGCGCTGGGGTGGGGCTCCCTTCGACGGCATCGGCAGCACGGCTGGGCTGGGGGAAGGGGGGGGGAGGGGGTTCGCCGCGTGGCGAGCGCCCGGGGGCAGGGAGGGGGAGGAGGGTGGAGTCCAGCAACGAGGATCTAGCGTTGTCTTGATTTTTTGTTTGTTGGGTGGGGCGGAAGGCAGGGAGGGAGGCGGAATGGGCCCAGCTTCGAGGATTCAGAGTCATGCTGTCGGGGTCTGGGTCAGTCCGATCCCCTCTTCGGGCCTCCCGTCCACGCTGGCGCGTGGGAAGGCAGCGCTTTCGGACCGCAGCATTACGCCCATGAGCTTCCACATCCTGTGAGCGAGTCGTACGCGGCTCCGAAGGCGCACTGGCAGTCGGTGGTCAGTTCCTTCAGTTGGTTTGGTACTGCCCTGCAAGGGTCGGTACGGACACTGCCAAGAACTTCTGCAGGCGTCTGGCAGATCTCCGGTCCCAGAGCGTGCCCGTCGATCGCACAGCAAGCAACTGCATAAACATAAACTTTCGGAGGTCCGCGCTGATTTCTTGGATCGGTGATGTACCCCTCCTCCTGGCGCGCGGAGCGCGCCAGCGGCGGCGCTGGAGGCGCCGTCAGGGGGTTCTGGCGCCGATCCCAACAAATCCGCAGGGATCTCCGAACATGGATGTTTATGCCATTATTTAGCGAGTGCCTGGAGGGATCCCTGTCCCTCCTCCTGGCCGCGGTAAGTCTTCAATGCTGCCCGTAACCCCCCTTTCTCTTTCTAAATTCTCGGCGAGGATGGGGTGACTCGGCGTTCCTTCCCCCCCTTCCCCCCCATTCCTGCTGCCTCATCTCGGAGATCACTCGTCGAGTGGCGCTTGGCCCTCCTGTCGGCGCGTCCGGTGCCGCCTCTGGCGCGCTCCGTGTGCCAGGGAGGGGTGTCCAGCGCCGATCAGAGAAGTCCGCGCGGAGTTGGACAGTTTGTGTTCATGCCGGTTTTGCCTCCTCTGTCGTCTCCTCGTTCCTCCCCCTCTCGCAGGGAAGAAGCTGGCCTATTTGGAACCGTTCTGCTTCCACGGGCATCGCTCGGACGTGTGCACTTTTCCTTCGGCGAAGACCATCGAGGAGCATCCTTCATCACGTGGCGAAAAAAACACGCACGAAACCGAAAAAAGCACAGGGAATGGACGTCCGAGCGATGGCCAGGGCCTGATCAGTATCTGCAGGTGGACGCGAGGCCCTCGCCCATCCTGTGGCCACGGGGAGGAAGCTGCCCGTGGCGCCCGTGGGCCCCCGCTCCGCCCCGCCGCCCCCCCCGAGGCCAGACTGGACAAGCTGCAGTGCCACGGCGGGCGCCCGCCCTGCTCGGATGGCTGTCGTTGTCGGCCGCCTGGCCTCGTGCGCCTCTCTGCTCGCCCCCCCCCCTGGTGCTGCCCCCTCCTCGTCCTCGGCGTTGCCCTCGTCCTCCTCGCCCGGCTCACCACCGCCCCGCCCTCGCCTTCGTTGTCCTCGTTGCCGCCGTTGCCGCCGTTGCCGCCGCTGCCATCGTCGGCTCTGTCGTCGCCGTCGTCCTCCTCCTCCACCTGCCGCTCAGGCTCTTGCTCCCCATCGTCGTCGTCGTTCGCCTCCTCCTCCTTCTCCTCCTGCTTCTCGTCGTAGCCCTCTTCCTTCCCTTCCCCTGCTCCTGCGAGTCCTCTTCCTCGCGCCTTGTACTGTCCTCCTCTCCTCGGTCCTGTTCCCCCCCCCTCTCCCGTCCGCCTTCCTCCCGCTCTTGTTCCAAGTCCTTGTCGAATTCCGGCCCCTACGACAAGACCACCAACACAATGTGACAAGACCAACTCCGTAAATCTGGGAGGTAATCCTCCTCCTCCTCCTCCTCCTCCTCCTCCCCCTCCTGTTCTTCTTCATTCTGCACCTCATCATACCCCAACCCGGCGCCCTTCCCCACCTCCGTACGGTATCCATCACAGGATGCGACGGGTGGCGTCACGCGCAGACGAAGAGATTAGCGCAGCAATGCGGGAGGCGGTGCAACAGCTTGCAAACGCGAGGTAGAGGTCGCGCTCTATTTCCTCCTCGACGACAAGGGGCTGGGGGAGACAGGGGATGAGGAGGGTGGCGGGAGGGATGTCCAGGATTGCCATCGCATTGGCTACGCATTCGTTCGATCCCTGTCCTTGGCGGGTGCGCCACAAACGCCAGTTGCGGACATCGTGGTCCTCACGTTGGCGGGTGCCTGGTTGAGCGCAGGTCGGAACCAGGGAAGGAGGAGGAGGAGGAGGAGGAGGAGGAGGAGGAGGAGGAGGAGGAGGAGGCGGAGGAGCAGGAGGAGGTGGAGTGCGTCGCAGGCGCGTTCCTCGACACGCCCTCGGGCACGCCCCCGG